TTCAGGCTCAACAACATTGTTCAATATTGTTGACAAGTGTGAACAACGTGGGCAGCAAAACATTGTTCAGTTCTGTTGAGCAACGGGCTCGGCGTTTTATGCCGTGTATCCCAACATTACCATCATTTGAGATGACTGGACAGATGCGTGACTGGACAGTTGCTGTAACACAGTTCAATAAAGTACGCTATATTTGAAAATATGGCTGTATAACAACCTCGACATGTTTACATATTTAACCATGATATTAACTGAAGCATTCTGAGTGTTTTCTCGTGAGCTCACAAATCAATTTTAAATCGTTTGAAGAAATCGACACACGCTAACAGTAGAAGTTCCGTTATTCGAAAAGCAGAAAATGCATGGTAAAGCAGTTTTTTTAGAGTGGTTCTGAACTTCTCTAGTGGGTGCTTGACACTACTAGGTGGGGTATACAACCCTCCTTCCCCCTGTACCCCCACGGTGGATCCGCCCGTGGTTTTGCATTTAACACCATCAAACAAGTATAGAGTTTTAATATCTTTAATTTTCTGTGGCGTAAAGGAAGAAGAGGAGGAACAAGGGAAAAGCGAGGATATCTGATGACATCAGAGGACATCTTAAACTAAACTATGTATAAAATAACGGATGTTGGTGGCTGTAGACCAGTTTTATACTGCATGAATAATAATGTGAAATAATTATATAAATTAAGATATATCAACTCTAAGAACGGTAATATCGTACAGATCGGTTTTATAGACTTGGCACACTTTGTGTTTGAATTACGATTCTCGAATTAATTGTTAATAGTTAAGTCAGCTTTGCTTTGACATTTTAAAGAAAACTGTGCCATTGATGGACTTTCATAGCATACTTGATGAAAGAAATTTTAATAGGGATAAACCTTTCTTTTCTTGACTTGTTCTTTACAGTCAAAACAAGAATGACTACATGTATTTTGCATTGACTCTATGATGAGTTTGTTAAGGGTATTTTCGTGAGCCGTGAATTGCCATTATTTGTTCTCGTGAAATGTGATTTAAATACCCGGGAAGCAAAGATATATTTGAGGTCCGGTTGATCTGTTGGGCATTGCCTCCTTCGTTTCGCCCAGCAAATTCAGTTAATTCACAAATTCGAATCCCAAATTCGTAATCTATAGTTTGAATATGTGTAAAATAAAATAAAATAAATAAACAGATTTAGATTCACAGAGTCTCTCTTTAGGTACAGACTCTTTTTTTTTCCGTGCAGACTCTTTTTCGGTACAGACTCTTTTCTCTTCTTTTAGTAAGTTCGGTAATGCGGGTTGATGGGGGGGGGGGGGGGCAGGATTAAAAAAATTTCTGACATACCATTTTTACTGACTTTCGAAATAATGTACCGTAATCGGTACAATATTTCAGTAATATTTTTATTTTTATAAACTATGTCAATTTTTTTGCTGAATTACATTTTTTTGCCCGACGAGCGGGCCGTCAATTGTTAAAATTGCCGAGTACTGTTACGGTCCTGGGGCCGGTTGTATAAAAAAGTGATTAAAGTTAACTATGATTAAGTGCAAACGTCATCCAATAAGAAGCGCCTATTTGAGAGTTAATCAGTATTTAACTACAAAATAGTGATTAAAAAAGTGATTAAGAGTTTTATACAACCGGATCCTGGTCACAATTTCAGAAAGGTTTATTTCCGTTCATTTTCCAGTCACGTCCCATGCACATTTTACATGCACCGGCCCTTTTGTAATACCTTTGTGACTGGTACAAGTTGGTACACCCCCCCCCCGGGCCCTCTCCATTTTTCTACAAATTTACAGACAATGTCTGTAAATTTGTAGAAAAATGGAGAGGGCCCGGGGTGTGTGTGTACCAACTCTCCCGGTGCTGCCGGGAGACTCCCGGTTTTGACCTTTTTCTCCCGGTATATCAAAGATATTTTCTCCCGGTTGCTTGTTTTAATTGTTACGAGGCAATGGAATATTTTCCAAATTCAAATATCTGGCAAGAAATGGTAATCGTGTGAAAATCACTCGTGTCCAAGTGTTCGGCTTTTTTATCCACTTTCGCACTATAAGCGATATAAAGTAGATTATTGTAAGGATATGAGATGTAACGTGGGATCTCGAAAACTAGTTGCATTCTTGCCATGTTAGCATTAAATTAAATTAAATTAAATTAAATTAAATTAAACAAGTTGTTGAAGCGAATGCAATTATAATGATTATAAAGCCGGGAAAATTATTAGAATTTTTTACTGTTTTGAACGCTGCATAATTATGACTTTAAAGCGAAATCTCCCTGTTTTAAAATTTTAAGGTTGACAGGTCTGAGACATTAATGATAAAATCGGGTAAAAGTCAATAATAAGCCGCATGGGCTTGTACACGAAGGGGATTATATATATTTATATCACACTTGCGTCGGTTTTCTTTGTTCGTCCGAGGTTTATAACTAGCTTATAGACCTTGAATAAATGATTGGATTAAACTTGTAGACAAAACGCGAGAATTTTTCATTAAAAATTTTTGAAAATGACAAAATATGTTGGAAAACCTCCGCAAGTGTGATATAAGTAAGTCGGTTTATAACTGATATATTGCCCCTCGGACGCTACGCGTCCTCGGGTCAATATATCAGTTATAAACCTCCCACTCGGTTTATAACTCTATATATATATATATATATATATATAACTCTATATATATATATATATATAACTCTATATATATAACTCTAGTTTTAGGTTTTATTAAATTATCTTCAGATATCATGTCTTAGTCTACACCAATAATAGTTTTGCTCTGCAAAATCTTACCTGCATTGAGCACTCTTCAGATACGTGTCAGCATCGACAAACAAGATATAACTCTATATATATATATATATAT